CCCCGTCACAGCTGGGACCTCCTGCCTCTGGCCCCTCCTGGGACTCCGAGGCCTCGCTCCGAGAGAAGTCTCTTCTTCTTCTTGGGTGGGATGGAGACCTCCTTCCCGACCGCTGGAGCGCCGAGGCTGCTGCCTGCCTCGAGCCGCCTCTTCTTTGGGAGCGAGCCGGTGGTGACCAGGCTGGGCTCCTCCCTGCTGCAGAGAGAAAGGTGGTGTGAGGGGTGGTCATGGACCGGCACTGTCCAGGGGGGAGGCTGGGTGCCGAGGGGCTGGGCTGGGGCTGGGGCAGTCCAGAGCAGGGGAGCCAGATGCCGAAATCACCCCCGAGCCAGCGCCGAGGCCAGAGTCACCTCGAGGAGCCCCCCGAGGCCGCAGGTGGCCTGGCTGCGGTGGGCGCTGCTCACCTGCACGTGCCCAGAGGCAGCAGAGCCGAGCCGGGGCAGCTGCTGGTCGGTGGGAAGCGGCTGCCAGCGAGTTGCGCGCGAGGCCGCGCGTGGTGGGCACTCCTGCCCAGCTTCCTGCCCTGCAGGGACTGGCACAAATAAAGACTCGGTGAGCTGAAGAAAAGAGGTTTCCATCAGCCGAGAGGGGAAAATCAAAAGGGGAGCCCAGGGAAAGGGGACACCAGAGGGGGAGGGAAGCGGGGTGGTGGAAGAGGAATCAGAAGTGCTTTTAGGTAGGAGCACCAAGGAAAAAAGGAAGCAAGGAAGTTTCAAGGCCAGAAGCCCCAGGGCCCGGGGCTGAGCCGCGGCTGCACCGCTGTGCCCAGAGGGCAGCTCTGAGCCCTCCTGTTCCCGCTCGCCCCACGGAGGGCTGGCGAGGCTGCCCTGTGGCCTCAGCAAGGCAGGAGCCACCTCTCCTGCACCACTCATGGGAACAGCAGCAGCTCTGCCCTCCCTCTGAGCTCCCTTGAGCACTGCCCAAGAGCAGCCTCCAGGACTCACCAGGGATGGGAACAGGTGCCTGTGACTCACAGTTTTCTTTGTCTCTTTGGAGACGGTGCCCTCAGAGCCAGTCAGGCTGGGGACAGCTCTGGCAATGGGCCTGTCCAAGCTCTTCTCTGGGCCGGAGAGTCTGGAAGGGAAGGGCACGGGTTAACTGTGAGTCTTTGACCAAATGGAATGCTCTCGATCAGAGCTGCACACGAGAAACAGGAGTCAGCAGCTCCGAGGAGGGAGATGCTCTTCATCGACAGCAAAACCACGGCAAGGGGCTGGACCTCTCCTGCACGTGGTGCCAGCCCTGCCCTGCCCCGCAGTGGGGCTGGGGGCCGCAGGCGCTCCCACCTCAAATAGAAGAGCAGGTAGGCCTCCTGCTTCAGCGCCTCTTGGATGTTACTGCGGCTCACCACACTGTCATTCATCTCGTACCACTGCCCGTTGCTGGCCTGCAGAAGGAGCAGAGAGAATGGGGTTGGGCTGTGTCCAGGGCCTCTCCTGGCCCGAAGACCAGCAGGAACAGCACCCATCAGCAGAGTTCCTCTGGCCAAAGCCCACAGCAGCCCAGGGCAGGCATGAGGACTCTACAAGAGTGCTTCCAGCAGCGAAGCACAGCCTGACCCAGCAGCTCCCAGCCCAGAGTGCCCTTGGCTCACCTTCACGTAGCAGTAGTAGTGCCCCGCGTGGCAGCTGTACCCAGAGTGCACCAGCACTGCATAGAGCCCATGCATTACAGGATCCCCCTCGCTCTCTGACATGTATGGGCGGATGTTGAGGAACTCGGGGTACGGCACGGCCTGCAGAGGAAGAGAGCATGCCTCAGGAGCCTGCACAGCAGACGGGTTTCCTGCTAGAGCAGGAGCAGCTCAGCTGTCCTGCATGTCCATCTCCTGAGGGAGCAGGGGCTGCCCTCCCCAGGCAGAGGTCACCATGACGAAGGCGCCAGGACGAGCTCCTAGCGCGCGGCTGGCCAAGAGCGGCAGGGCCACCTCCCACCCTGCTGCTCGCGCCAGGAGACAGCCCCAGCTCGGCACTGCCGAGCACTCACCTTTGTGATTTTCTCCCTGTCACACGTGAACCGCTTCAGTGAGAGCGTCAGAACGTTGGGGGCTCGGTGGATGCTGAAGCGTTTTGTTGCCGACACTCTGCTGTTGCATCTGCACAAGAGGAGCTGTGTCACTCAAGCTCTTCCACCACCCAGATGATTGCCAGCTCTGGCCAAGTGGCAAACCCCATGGAAAATGACCCTGCAGGCACCAGGCCCCTGCCCACGGCCACATCTGCTGGCCCAGGTTCTCCTCACGAGAGGACGGAGCTGCGGAGCGGCAGCTTTCACCACAGGCTTCCGCGGCCTCACGCTTTAGCGGGGAACAGGTCGAGAAGCCCTCCCGTGATGTGCATTTCCGCCTGCTTCCCACCGGCGCAGCCGCAGCCCCATTCCTGCCCACAGCCCCACACGCACCCTGCACACAGGTAGCAGTTTTCCCCTCCCAGCAGGTCCGGCTTAACCAACAGCTCCAGCGCCTCCCATAGGTCTTCGGCTTCCTGCAAGGATGGAGGAGAGGTCAGCGCACGGGTGGCCCGGCCAGGCGACAGCCCCGCTCCCTGCCGAGATGCTGGCCCCAGGAGAGCAGGAGCACCGGGTCCCCAGCCCGCTGCAGTACCCAGATCTCCAGAGCCAGGTCCAGGAAAGGGTCGTACGTGTCCGAGACGCTCTTGCACGACAAACACTTCACTGCAAAGGAAAGAGCAATGAGCACACCCCGGCACACGGACCTGCACAACGCAGGAACTGCCTCCCCCTCTCCGAGTTTGAGCTCTGGGACGGGAGCACCCGGATGCGCAGCCTGGCACAGAGGAAGGCTGCCAATTCCACTGCGTGCTGGCGCAGCGAGTGTTGCCAGGGGGCTCATTTCCTGGCGGCGATGAGCTGGGGATCCGCAGCCGACAGCTCTTGCCGTCGCCACAAGCGGGCTCCTGACCCACAGGTCCCATGGGACTGAGAAGCTGCAGCTCTGGATCATGTCCACGTGCTCAGTGATTTTCCCAGAGCATTTTAACTACAAGGCTCCCGGCAAAGCAACAGCCCCGAGTGACTGCAGGCCCAGGGCCTGGCACCGAGCACTCACCACGGGATCGCAGGTAGCCGCCAAAGATCTGGTGGACCAATGTCGTTGCCTGGGTCTCGCAATCCAACCTAGAGACAGCAGCCCCGGGTCTCACACCGTTCCTGCACTACGGCCGCCCCGCAGCCACCACGGTGTCCTCAGCACAAACTCCTGGCTGGAGCTCAGAGCTGGGCACTGCAGGGGCAACGCAGCTTCCCGGGGCAAGGGCCCAGGAACACGAGTGCCGCCTGGGGAACAGACTGACCCCACAGAACCCTCCAGCAAGAGGACAGCGGAGAAGAGCAGGGACAGCCCATCAGAGAGAGGCCCCACGTACCTGGTGCAGCCACTCAGGCAGGAATTCTGCAGAGCGCTGATGGTATAACGCAGGAATTCATGTGCATCCTCCTGCTGACCGAAGCGCATGTGCCCAGCGATCTCTGCAGGAGAGGGGGGAATCAGCCCCAGCACGTGCTGCGAGAGACAGAGCCCACCTCCCTCGGTGGCTCCAGGGGTCGAGCCCCCTCAAACCAAAGCGGACGGCAGACTCGTGTCGGCCACAGGGGAGCCCCACACACAGCCCATGAGGTCACCAGGTCCCCGCAGGCTCCACGAGTTCTCCTGGCCCCTTCTCAAGGGTTCTGCTCACACATTACTCCCTGCTCTCCAGCACGGCTATGGGAGGGAAGAGGAGCACAGTGGAGTCTTTCTTACTTTTGAGGTCTCGGACGAAGGCCGTTGGCTCTATCACGCTCCCACTGTTGGCAAAAGCCTGAGCCACGTGGTTCTGCATGATACATATCATGCAGAAGCTGCCTTGGTCACCTGTGGCAGAGGAGAAGATGACAGGAGGTTGGGAACAAATGCAGTAGAGGTCAAAGCAATACAGGAGACGGGGCAGTACAGTACAGGTCGGAGCAATGCCCATCACATTCCGTTTCAAAGCCACACATCAACAGCATCTGCTGCCTGTACGCAGCCTTCTGCTCTCACGCAGGCAGGGGCTGTTTGGGATGTCCAGCTCAGTCCCCATGAAGCCAGCAGATCCTGCTGGAGCCATCTTAGCCCTGGCTACACCCACCACGGACACAAGTGTCCCCAAACACAAGGATGCAAAGCTCAGGGATGCTGCTATGGCCGGGAAAAAGGAGCTGTACACAGGAACAGCATCTCCGTGGAGAAGCGGCCGGAGGGAGCAGAGAAGGTTCATCCTGACAGCCACATGGCCCTTGCCACAGCCACGCGTGCTGAGATACTGAGCCCAGCGCGGGGAGCAGGGACCTGCCAGCACAGCCGCCCACCGAGCCAGGCCCCTCTACTCACGGGTGCAGCGGTGCTCCTTGGAGAGCAGGTAGTTAGCGAGCGGCGGGGTGTACGTGAGGCACTGCACGGTGGAGTTCAGGAAACATGTGTTCCCGAGGTTACGCAGTCCTGCGCCGACTGGGTGCACCCGCTGCCACTCCATGGACAGGTGCTCCATGGGGAAGAGCACCTTCTGGGGCGCAGGGATCCCGTCCCCTGGGCCCACCGGGGCATCGCTGCTCTCTGTGGGATGAGGAATGGTGGGTGAGCTGTGCAGTGCGGGCCGCGGCTGTGCCCACTGAGCCCCCGGTACTTACCCTGCTTGACCTGCTGCTCCTCCTCGGCGGCGCACTGGGGTCCAGCAGCCTTGGCTGGCGAGTTCAGCCGCACGTACTTGCTGCAGAGACTCTGCAGCTTATTGAGGAAGCTCCAGCGGGGGGGCTCACTCTTGGCCACCTGCAGCACCACCCTCTTGGCAACCTGAGTCAGCAGAGAGGCCACCTTCCCCCTCCCGCTCATCTCCCGCCGGGCCCACTTCACCACCTTCCGCAGGTTCTCCATGACGGCCATGGTGAACCCTAGCGCTCTGGGCTGCAGGGAGAGGTGGGGGCTGAGCGGGGGCACTGGGCCCTTCTCTTCCCACCGCACAACGTGCGCCAGGCACAGGCGTCCTCAGGAGCAGGCGCTGCTGCGCCCGCACCCAACCCTCGCGGCCCGCCCAGCCCTGGGCTCCGCCCCTCCAACCGCGTCCACTCCGCGAAGCCCGCTCCTCCGCCTTCGTTCAACCAGCCGCGTTGAACCGACGGCTCCGCCCGATCAACCGCGTGCTGAAGCCGTGGGGAGGAAGCTCACTCTCCGCCTCCGCGTCCCGCCCAGCTCCGGGCGAGAGGACTGAGCTGAGCTTGCGCCTGCACCGCTTATATAGTGCCGGGGGACAGCGCTCGGGCAAGCGGGCTTTGTGACGTGCCTGTTGCGGACCCGGGGGGGAGGCTCCCCCCCCCCCCAGGGGCGGACGTGGGGCCCGAGCATCGGCAAGAGGTCACAATGAGAGCACAGGGAGCAGAGCCGGCGGCAGAACAAGTGGCAATAGTAAACTCAGGCTGCCAGCAGCAATGGCACGTGTGATACAACCACACAGCGCGCGGGCGGGACGAGGGGCGCTGGAGGTGGGGTTTTCTTTTTAATGTCTCTCTTTAATACGTTGAAATTGCCCAGACTGGTCCAGTACGACATCTTAGACCTGACAGGGATGCTCAGCATGAAAACACCTCCCAGAGCTGTGCTGGGTGCACGGAACGGAGCTGCCTCAGACGGGCAGCCCCACGGCACGTGCCAGCACCGCTGCAGGTTTTCATGCTGTCTCCAGGGACTGATATCAGCATGGACCAGTCTAACATCTCGCAGGTTTTTTCTACTGGCTACTGGAATGCGCTTGTTTGGCTTTAGGGGTCCTCAATGTCAAGAAACTCTTGCTTGGGGGGTGCCATGCCACGGTACCAGGCACATGAGCCATCGCTCCTCTTGATGCAAGCGTAGTGTTTCGCCTGCCGCCCATCCACATTGTTCTTCTCCATCGCCCAGTCTGTCCAGAGACACTCATCCGAGGAGGAGACGAAGCAGGGGATGGAGAGACAGCGCGAGATCTGTGCGGAACAGAGACCACCACTGACCACCCGAGGGGGGACAGTAGGGTGGGATGGGATGCGGGGAAGCAGCATGGCTCTGCTTCGCTCGCCCCCAGTTCTGGACCAATGGTGCCATGCTGCCCCTTCCCTGCATGGCATGTTGGGGATGTGACCCTGATGTGGGAGGACTGAGGGAACCCCTGAGTGTGGGCCCCAGTTCCCAGCTGGAGAGAGACAGAGACTTGGATGCCCTTCCTGTGTCCCCCAGCTCCCTGCATAGCATCATCCTCGAAGGACGGGGAGAGCATCTCGTGGCTGAGCCCCTGCCCACCCCGGGGGAGCCTGGCTGCTCACCTTGCATTCGCAGCCCATCTGGTACCGCTGGTTTAGGCTCTTCTTCTGGGTTGGGCTCAGTGAGTCCCAGGTGGAGACCAAGTCACAGAGCGTGATGTGCATCTTGCCATTGCCCTCTGACTTGCCTGTAGAGGGGCCAGAGGCAGCTTAGAGTGTCCCCCCAGGCACCCTGGTGCTGAGTCAGGATGCTGGGGCTCAGCCCGGCAGGGGCTGGACTCTGCTGCAGTCCAGCACCGAGGGCTGGTGGTGGCAGCAGAAGGAAGGGGGGGCCTTGCACACGTCATGGGTGCCTCAGGAGGCCACAGGGCCACCACTGCCACCGGTTTCCCCAAGAGCCCTCCCTGCAGCCACCCACCTGCAATGAGATATTCCTTTTTTCCGCCGGTGTCCAGCAGCCGGCCGCACACGGCGGTGGATGGAGCCGTGTAGATGAACTCTATGTCCTTATCAGGGCCCTTGAACATCTGCCGAGAAGGTACAGGAGTGAACGGCTGCCATGGAGGCTGCCCCGTCCCCCCGCCTCCTGCCCCAGTGTGTCCCATTACCTTGATCTGCTTGATTTCATACTGGATTCGTTTGATCGGATTCCCGTATATGTCATTCCCTGAATCCACCTCTTTGGCAGACACGGCCTTTGCTCGGATCACTGCAATGGAGAAGTGCTGAGGTCAGCAGGGGTGGCCACATGGTCCTGCTCACCTGCCCCATCCCACCACGGCTCCCACTCTCGCAGCCAACGCTGCTGCCCCCCACAGAGCTGCTGCCTCGCGCTGTCCCCAGACGGACAGGGCTCTGGCACACAGGGGAGGCTGATGGGCAGCACTGCAGCAGCACCCTCACAGTGGGTGATAAGGAAAGGTCAGCCCAGTATCATCCGGTCACCCTTGGCCAGTGCTGTCCCGAGCTCTGCTCAGCTGCTGCTGGACCCATGGGTTCAGGCTGGCCCTGCCTGGGCTCACGCCTGTCACACAGATGGCACCAGGACAGCTAAAACCTGCCAGCAGTGTCCTGGAGCTCCACTGTATTTGTCCCACAGTCATTAACTAAACCCACCTCTGATGAGGGCCCCAGCCAAATGCCTGCATGGCCTGGCCAGGCTGGAGCAGAAAAGGGCAGAGGGAACTACTTGGAGGGTCACCTTTGGGTGCGGAGGGAGGTGGGAGCTGCATCCCCAAGGCACCATCCTGGCTGTTTGCCATAGCGAGCACAGGCACCAGCACTGCCCATCAAGTGCTGCACAGGCAGCTCATCCCGGGGTCCCCACCCCAGCACAGAGGGGTCCCTGAGCCACCAAGGTGATGCTCCAGCTGCAGCTCTGTGCCAGCTCCACACTGCACAGGCACAGAAACTGCATCCGCCGGGGCCGGGGGCTGCCAGTGACACTTCCTGCTCTCATCTGCCTACAAAGACAACCTGGGGACACCGAGAGCTGAGGCAGTGGGAAAATACAGCCCAGTGAGGGCAGGCAGCGAGGTCCCAGCCAAAGGCAAGAGCCCTCCCGGCTCTGTGTGGCCCCGGGGCAGTCCCAGTGCTCAGTGCCACCGGGCAAGGTCAGGTGCCCCAGAGCCAGTGAGGCTATGGCACCTTCGAGCCAGTCCCCCCGGTCAGGCTGCCAGCAGAGCCCAGGGATATGGGAACCTGCATGTGAGTGCTTGGCACGTGGCAGTGACCTGCAGGGCAGGCAGCAGCCAGCTCACCCTTACTCACTGGCTCAGGACACGGCAGCTGGTTTGGTGCCGCATGTGGTGGCCTGAGCCCCGTGGCTCCCAGCCCTGCCTGGCTCCTTCCACCAGTGTGGGAACTGGGGCTCCTGGCTGGCCCCAGGCAGCACCAGGGACACCAGTGGTGCAGGGGACAGCAGCAGCCCCAGGGCCACAGCACCTGCTCAGCACCCTCAGGAGCCCAGGTGCAGAGCAGGGGCTTGCAGGGCTCCCTGCACTGCTGAGGGTACCACCATCCCATGGGAGACATCTCCCCATCCCTCAGGGCACCCCAGCGCCCTGCCAGCCCTGCTACATGTGCAGGTGGGATAGCGAATGGGGAGCCATGCTTTGGCCGGGGCAGCAGCGCCAGCCAAGCTGGGGACCCATCATGTGTCCCCCACTACATGGTGGGGTGGGAGCAGCCAGGGACATGCAGGGTGCAGCACCAATGGCACAGCAAGGAGAGGGAACCTGACCGTGGTCTATAAATACCATGGGCACGGGGGCACGCGGATGGGCTATTTCAGCTAAAGGTCAGGAGGGCACAGCCCCACTTGGGCACTGTAAGTGCCAACTGAGCTCACTCTGGAAAGGAGACGGTGGCCACCAGCATGTGCAGGGGCCCAGAAGACACTTCCTAACACAGCCACTCCGGGTTAATGGGAGAACTCGCTCGGTGCGGGACGGGCAGACTCAGCGCCTGCGGGTACAGGTGCTGCACTGATGGCTTTCCCAGCCAAGCTCCCATCCCTGTGGATGGGCCGCGGGCACGCTGGCAGTATCTCAGCCGAACTGCCAGCCCCTGCATCCCGACCTGCAGCAGGCAGCAGCCCACATCTCTGCCCCGGTCCCTGCCCCAGGCTGGAGCAGCTCCACTCGGCACACACTGCCTTGGTCTCTGCTGCCAGACCTGCGTCTGCTCCTCTGCCTGTACCTCACTGCAGGCACGGGCCGCCCCTCGCCCCTCATCCAGTGGCTGCCTCGTCCCGCGGCCCTCCACGGCTCCATGTCTGCGGCAGAAATTGGGTGCAATGGAGCTGGAAAGCCGCGCACCAACTCCGGCCCCGCTGCTCCAGGCGCGGGGAATGGTGACTGGTTCAGTGGGCTCCAGCCTTTTCCATTCACGTGCTGATGAATCATTTGACAAAAATGCAGCCCAATTCTAGGCGGATTTGTTCTGAACAGTGCGGCTTTGTGGAGGGGACGGCTGCGCTGCGCTTTCCCCGCCAAGACCCCAGCAGCTCAGCCAAGCAGCTCTGTGCCAGCCAGGAGCCAGAGCATGAGCAGGGCGATTCGCAGGGATCGCAGATGGGAGCCCCTGAGGAAAGCCCAGCTGGGACCCCTGGGACCAGGAGGCAGGGCCAAGTGATGGAGGAAACCCCCAGTGCCCAGAAACCAGTAGCGGACCTCACCGAAAACCAACGTCACTGGCCACATCACCTACCACTGGCCTGGACAGCCACAGGTGCTCAGACCCTCCATGAAATGGGCCACAAGGAAGGTTCCCAGCAGACCCCGCAACACTCCCCCTGCCCGGGCAATGAGCCCATGATGAGCAGGGACAGACAAGGGCTGCGGTGCGGCTCTGGCAGCAAAGCTGGGGGCAAACAGCATCACCCAGGCCATAAACCCATGGGGATGTCTCTTGCAGGGGCCTCTGCTGAGCTGAATGGGCAGGGAACAAAGCTCCCTTCTCCGGGGCTGCTGGCAGCCGGCTGAGCGGAGGGGATGGCTGCCAGTGCCAGCACTGCCCGCTGCCTGCCCGGCATCGCCCGGCCCCGCTGGGCACCCACCAACAGCAGAGCAGGGAACCCTGTGGGGATGAGGAGGCCGGAGCGATGCAGAGTGGCAGAGGCTGGGGCTGCCCCGGTGCATGACAGTGCCAGGG